AAAATACAAAATCCTCATCATACCCGAAGCAAAACCATGGAGGCTAAGCTCGAACAACTAAAAAAGGAAATACAGGAAGATTTGTTAAGGATACAACAAGAGTGGGAAACAAAAATGGAACAATCGCAAAAATTAGTCATAGACAGTATATTGCAAAGCCAAACTAACATGGTAAATGTTATCGTGGCCAGAATGTTTGGGTTGCATGCTGGAATAGCAAAAGAGCCAAGTACTACATTGGTTGAAACTTCTGAACATGTCGCAGTGGAATCTACCTCGAGATTGGTTATCTCACCTGAAAAACTTACTAAGCATCCCACATGATCTTCTGCAATCAAAGCTCAAATGGCTATAAAAACTCCCAAAATATCCCACATGAATACACTGCTATAAATCATGAGGAAATTGAGAAATCTAAGATGGAGGTACCAGAACATCTGAAAGACTGGTGCAAGGACTTTTTTAAAGAAATAAGAATGCAATGCTCTCAGGATGGAATGAATGCAGTAGAATTGAGCCTGGTTCCAGATTTTATTTTACCCCAAAGTTTAAAATGCCTGAATCACATCGTACATTTGACCATGTTCTCCAAAAGGATGATTGGTTTTGTAGAGTATGATAGATTATTGATTCATTGGTTTCAAGCTAGTTTGACAGGATTAGCTGCAAGGTGGTATAACCAGTTGACCTGCGCCAAGATAAGGTCATGGAAAGACTTGGCAAACGCTTTTAAAGAACAATACTAATATGTTATTGATATGATGCTTGATAGATTTACTCTCCAAAATATGGAGATGTAACATAATGAAAGCTTCCGCCAGTATGCACAATGTTGGAGAGACATTGCTGCTCAAGTACATCCACCATTGGTTGAAAGGGAATTTATAACAATGTTTCAGAAATGATTGAGAGAGCTCTAAAGAAGGGGTAAATAGCTAGTGGCCAAAACTCTACAAAGAAGTCATTTGTTAAAAAGAAAGAAGGAAAAGTGAATAACGTGAATTTGTCTGTAAACAAAACAAAGACTGGAAATTCCTCATCTCAAGGGGAAACAAAGTGTGAGAATAACACTGAAAAGGATGTTGTTTACTTTAATCCCAATGACTTACATTGAATTATTCCAGGGTTTATTCAAAGCACATGTAGTGTCACCAAAATTTGTAGATCCGATAAAACCACTTTTTTTGAAATGGTACAATGAAAACAAGACTTGTGAATATCATGCAAATCTCCGAGGGCATACTATTGAAATGTCTTGCTTTTAAAAAAGTGGTTGAGGATCTGATCAAAAGAAAGGTGGTGACATTCAATGACTCAGAGGCACCATGTGTTGCTACAAATCTACTTCCAAATCACCAAAGCCAAGGAGTTAATGCCATTGAAGAAAATCGAAGAATCAAGAGAAGGGTCGAAAAAGTAAAGAAACCATTGAAATGGTTATTTGAAGAATTGAAGAAGAGGTGGATGTTGAGTCCAATAAAGAAGTTTGTAGCTGAGAAGTCAGATAGCTTCTGTGAATACCATTCTGAATATGATCATCAAATCTAAGATTGTCAAGATTTTAAGCAGGTAAACCAGGAATTGATGGACAAACATGAATTGCAATTCTTTGAGGAATGGATAATGAAGAACGAATGAGATATTTGTGCTTCTGAGGAAAGTTCAAAAGAGGTCAAAGGAAAGTTAAGGAACCAATTATGCTTATATCAAAACCAAACTATGAGGCAAGCAAGGGAAGTACAACATTTAGAGTGGTGATCAAGACACCGATGCCTTTTTCCTATAAAAGTAATAAGAGTGTCCCTTGTAATTATACGTGCCAAATCAATACTCCTGAGAACCAAGAAGAAGAGATCGATGAAGTTGGAGGTTTCACCAGGAGTGGAAGATACTACGCCCATGGCAGAATTGAAAAAGCAAGAGTTGTGGTAATCGATGATCTTGAGGATAGAGTAAATGAACCTATCAAGATCGAGGAAGCTCAGGAATTTCTGATGTTTTTGAAGCACAACAAGTATAACATTATAGAGCAATTTCATAAAACTCCGGCACATATTTCGATGTTATCTCTTATGTTACACTCTGAGGTGCATCGAAATACACTGATCAAGGTTTTGAACGAGAACTTTATAGGGAAAAAATACCGGTGGAACGAGTGGACAGAATGATGAATCACATCAATGCATACAATTTCATTTATTTCTATGATGATGAGATACCCGAAGAAGGTAAAGACAGATGCAAGGCATTACACATTACTGCCCACTGCAAGGGAGTTATCATCTTCAGGGTGTTAATAGATAATGGATCGGACCTAAATGTAATGTCATTTGCCAATCTAAATAGACTTTCAGTGGATACCACCCAAATTAGGATTTGTGGAAACGTCGTGCAGACATTTGATGAAACTGATCGCAAAATCATGGGGAAAATGATGATCCCTCTCAAAGTTGGCCCTACGACATTTGAAGTGGATTTTGTCATAATGAACATTCATCTGAGTTATAATTGCTTTTTGGGGAGACCTTAGATTCACATGGCTTGGGTAGTTCCTTCTTCCCTCCACCAAAAGTTGTGGTTAATTACTAATGGAACTCCAATGACCATCAAGGTAGAAGAAGATATCATTGCTTCTATCACTACTGATGCACCATACGTAGGGGTAGATGAGAATGCACTAGATTCATCATTCCAGTCTTTGGAATTTGTCACTGCCACTTTCATTCCTGAAGGAAAAAGAATTTCCATTCCTCAACTTTCAAAGAATACAAAAATGTAGTTAAAGGAAACATTAGCTCGAGGAGCAAAAGTTGGGAAAGGCTTGGGGAAGAAACTGCAAGGCATCACAGAAGGGTTGGCCCCAGTTCCTAAAAGGAATTATTTTGGCATCATATATAGGCCAACCTACCATGACAGAGTCAGGGATGCACAAAAGCTTAGGGAAAGGTGAAAAGCAAGAGCATAAGGAGAAGGTGTTATTTGGGGACCTATAGTTATAGAACCACTCTCCAAAACTTTTGCATCTGGAGGATTTGTCACTGAATGACTAAAAAAACCATGGGACGATGAAGAAGTAACAATGATTGAAGATTTGATGGGAAGCTGAGCATTAATGCCATCACATATGATTCTACTGAAGAATGCCCATTTGCATTGATTCGTCCATGTTCTCATGGTTATATTTTGAACAACTACAGTATTGAAGAACTCCATGTATTCTATAAGAACTCTTCAAAGTAATGCATAATAACAACCATGTCTCTTTTTGACTTGAATATATATTGTTATTCATCATTACTTTAATGAAATGATGATTTCTCTTTATTCTCTCCATAGAAAATATCTTATTCAATTCTTTAATTCTTTATTATTTATTTATATTTATTCTTTTGGTAGATATCAAATAAAATTTATTGTCCAACATCGAATATACTCATTTTCCATTCGCAGGTCTCCAGATATCAATTGTTTGAATAATGATATTTTCAAACCATAAATTGATTTTGAAAATGATATGTGTCTAAAAGAATATGAGGGTTATAAGGATGAAGAGAAATGCGATTTGAACCCTGAACTTGTTAGAATAATAGAACATGAAGATAAGCACATTTTTCCCCATAAAGAGAAAATTGAGATAATGAATTTAGGGACAGATGAGGATATAAAGAAGGTCAAGATCGGCATTTTGCTCTCACAAAAAATAAGATTTGATCTCATAAACCTTTTACAAGAATGCAAATATGTGTTCGCCTGGTCTTATAAGGACATTCCAGGATTGGACACTGATATTGTGGTACACAAGTTACCAATAAATCCATAATGCAAACCTGTGCAACAAAAGCTTCAAAGGATGAGGCCATATATACTGTTAAAAATAAAAGAATAGGTAAAGAAATAGTTTGATATCGGTTTCCTACTGGTAGCCAAATACCATAAACGGGCAGCTAACATAGTGTCAGTTTTGAAGAAAGATGGCAAGGTTCGAATGTGTGTTGACTATCGAGATCTCAACCAAGCGAGCCCCAACGATAATTTCCCGCTCCCACATATTGATACCTTGGTCAACAATACCACTAGACATGCTCTTTTCTCCTTCATGGATGGCTTCTCTGGGTACAACCAAATCAAGATGGACCCTGAAGACATGGAAAATACAATATTTGTGACGATGTGGGGCATATTTTGCTACAAAGTGATGTCTTTCGGAGTAAAGAACACAGGGTAATGTATCAACGAGCCATGGTTACCTTTTTCCACGATATGATGCATAAAGAGATAGAAGTATACATGGACGATATGATTACCAAGTCACAAACTGAAGAAGAACATGTAGCAATCTTAAAGAAGTTGTTTCTAAGATTAAGAAAATACCAGCTAAAACTTAATCCAGCCAAATGAACTTTTGGAGCTACTTCAGAGAAGTTATTGGGATTTGTATTAAGTGAAAAAATGATAGAAATAGATCTCGATAAAGTCAAAGCAATTTTGGAACTACCACCCCTTAGAACACAAAAAGAAGTACGAGGATTTCTAGGAAAGTGGAACTATATTGTCAGATTCATCTCTTAGTTAACCGATAAATGTGATCCAATCTTCCCATTACTGAGAAAACAAAATCCTGAAGCATGGGATGATAGTTGTCAAGAATGTTTTGATAAAGTTAAGAGTTACTTGACAAACGCTTCGGTCCTAATGCGACCAATCCCTGATAAACCATTGATCTTATACTTGACTGTCTTTGAGAAGTTAATGAGATGTGTATTGGTATAACATGATGAAAATGGGAGAAGAAAACGAGCCATATATTTCCTTAGTAAGCAATTACTGACTGTGAGACTCGATATTCTTTAATCGAGAAATTGTGTTGTGCTTTAGTATGGACTACAAAGAGGTTGAGATAATATTTGTTGTATCATACCACTTGGTTGATATCAAGGTTGGATCTATTAAAGTACATGATGGAATCATCAGCTCTAACTGGAAGAATGACTAGCTGGTAAATGTTGTTGTTTGAATTTGACATAGTCTACATAAATCAGAAAGCGGTGAAAGGAAGTGTCATTTCTGATTTTCTAGCAAGCAGAGCATTGGAAGATTATGAACTAGTGAAATTTGAATTTCCAAATGAGGACCTAATGAGAATATTTGTTATAGAAGAAGAAGAGGTTCCAAAGGATGAAGTTTGGAAAATGAATTTCGATGGTGCCTCAAATGCTGTGGGACACGAGATTGGCGCAATACTAATTTCACCTGAAAGAGATCATTATCCCTTTACCAGTCGGCTCGCTTTTGAATGCACAAATAACATGGATGATTATGAAGCATGCATCATGGGTATTCGAACTACAATTGAGCATAATATTAAGATCCTAGAACTATTTGGTGATTCTCCTCTAGTTATTTACCAACTTCACAGAGAATTGATGACTCGGGATTCCAAGTTAGTAGAATACAAGAATTTAGTGATGGATCTGATAAAGGAGTTTAAAGAGATCACTTTCACCTATCTCCCATATGAAGAAATTAAATGGCGGATGCCTTGGATACGTTGGCTTCCATATTCAAGGCTAACGATTAGGCTCGAATAATGCCCATTCAAATTAGTATAAGAGAAATATCGGCTCATTGATGTAATATTGAGGAAGATTGACTATAGGGTATGCCCTCGATGGGGATATCATTTATAAAAAGGGCAAAGATCAAGTGCTATTGAGATGTGTAGACAAGATTGAGGCCAAAAAGATATTGGAAGAACTCCATTAAGGGATTTTTCAATCCCATGCTAATGGCTTCAGAATGGCCAAACAAATCATGAGGTTTGAGTACTATTGGTCAACCATGAAAGGAGATTGCATCATATTTGCTTGAAGATGCCATAAATGTCAGATCCATGATAGCCAAATATATGTTCATCTCTTACCGCTCCATGTAATGACCACACCTTGGCCATTTTCAATGTGGGGCATCGATGACATTGGGGCAATTTCACAAAGGCTTTAAATGGACATTGTTTCATCTTAGTGGCCATTAATTACTTGAAAAAAATGGGTCAAAGCTGCCTCGTACGCTAATGTCACAAAATGAGCAGTTTGCATATTCATAAAAAGGGAAGTTGATAACTCCGTAAAAAGACTTAATTTCTAGTCTTTTCACTTAAGTTATTGCTCGTCTAAACAAAGTATGCACATCATTTTAGTTACATTTAGTTTCATATAGGTTATGTTAGCTTGTGGTGGATAAGTTTTGCTTCGACAAGATTTATTTGGTTTGACTGGTGTTATTGAGGAGAAAGGGTTTGTGTGGATTGTGTATGTGCAAGAAACATTTCAGTCGTGACAATGTAATTTGCAAGGGCCAATGGAATAGATAAGAACGTGAGGAGAAGATTTATCTCATCGAGGCAAGGTTTATCTGAAGAGTCTGAAACGAGTATGATGAAATCGCCTATGTCACACGCCAGCTGGATGAACTACTTCACGCGCAAGCAAGCTTTAAATATTCTGACAGTCGCCAACCGCCTTTATTTTTAAGCCTGGGAAGATAACAATGGTTATTTAAGGAATCTCCAAATTATGCAAAGCCTAGGAGATTCTTCCCTATAAATAACCATTCGTAGCCGCCAAAAGAGGCAGGTAAGGAAGAAGAGAGAAGAGCTTTACTTAAGGCGTGAGCAAGCAACTACAGTGCATTCCCACCATTTACCAATCAACCTTCCTTAGTATCCTCCATATCCAGGCTGTAGCAGAGCGGTTATCAGGGCTCGAGAGAGGCTGATCACCAAGGTAAGCGTGGTGCTGATCAGAATTGTCGCAACAGAGCCCCCAATTTTTGGAGTCGTTCTTCCTTTGTTTTTAATCTCTTTATATATTTGGGGTTGTATTAAACTATGATACTTGGATGAATGTTTTGATAACACCATGACTGTCTTACTTGGTGTTAAACTTTGTTTTTTCTAAACAATTATTTTCTATTTTATGAATGATGAATTATGTTTTTGCTCATGACTGTTTTGTTCATTATTTGAATATTTTACCTTGACACTGTAAGAGCATTGAGAGATCGCCTGGGGTGTTGGTAAAACATGTCTTGGCAATCTAAAAGCATCTAGAGATCGCCTTTTGTCTAGATAGTGATTCTTAGATTCGAGAGAATTAAGATAGATCTATGTGAACAATGGAATGAATCCAGGATGGTGAAGTTCTAACTTGTCTACCTTAGAGATAAGGAGCGTGTTTCAATCGACTAAGAGGGATAGACACTAGAGTATGATAGACAACGCCTATAGTTCATGATGAGAGGTATTGCTACAACAACAGTCTGACAAACCAAGGGTTGTAGTTAACGCTGAGGAGTATTGCCATAGCAACAGTCTAAGAATACCTAGTAATCCTGTCAGACAACTTAAGCAAATCATAATAATTCAATCTAGACTTAGAGTAATTGTTGTCAATACAAAAGTTTAGCATAAGTGCTCTGTGATAAGTCTAAATATGTGAGGTTGTTGAATTATAGTTAAATCAACACTTGTCTTTATTTTGTTCATTTCAGTGTTTTGCATATTTATTTTACCCCGGACAAACTTTTCTGCAATCTTTATAACATTTCCTTATTTTATTAATATTAGTTTTTAAGTTGACAAGATAGTAGGAATTAGTTTGTGACTATTAGTTCTAGTTGTGGTGAAGATAAATTTATAAACCAATCCCTGAGGACACAATAACTTACTTACCCTATATTACTTGATTTGATTGTGTATACTTGCACAAAATTGCTTGCCTTAGCATATACATTTACAAGCGATCAAGTTTTGGCACCGTTGTCAGGGATTGACAACTGATGAAATTTTTATTCGCCATAACAAGTTTTTCTTTTCACCTTATATTAGTCTAACATAGTTTACTATTTTTTGTAGGTTTTTATTACATGACCCTGAGATCTACTGGTAAACCTTTGGAACCATTCGACCCTGAAGTTTAACATTCATTCAGACAAAGGCTACGTGCGCAAAGAACCAGAGAATAATTAAACCAACTTCAAATGCAAGACAACATGGGAGATCTAGGACCTGATGCATCAATCAATCTTCAAGTTGTAAGGACAAGAGAAATATGAGATCATTTGAACCCAATCCTCGATGACCTCAACCCATGCATAGTGGCACCTGAAATACAAGCAACTCATTTCGAACTTAAACTGATGATGTTGGTGGTTCACCCAATGAGGATACTAGACAGCATGTTCTTGCTTTCTTTGAAGTATGTGATTTGTTTCGACAACAAGGAGTATATGAAGATGTGCTTAAACTAAAAGTTTTCCCTTACTCCCTACGCGATAGAGTAAGAACCTGGCTCAGCGGAGTTCCTTCCAGCTCAATGGAGTCATTAGCAGACTTATGCAAGAGTTTTTTACTTTGATATAATCCTCCCAATATGAATATACATCTTCGCAATGACATTGCAAGTTTTTTCCAAGGAGATGATGAATCAATGTACGAATGTTGGGAAAAATACAAAATTTTACTTCGCAAATATGTCAACAATGGATTTCATGATTGGATGCAAGTGGTGATGTTTTACAACGGAGTTAATGCACCAACTTGAATGATGTTAGATGCCTCAGCAAACGACACCTTACTGATAAATCACCCGAGCAAGCCTTTCACATTCTCGACAGGATAGAAAATAATGATTATTAATTCCCAAATACAAGATTGGGAATAGGCAGAAAAATATCTGGAGCATATGAATTAGAGGGTAAGGATTCAGTAGCTGCTCAACTTTTTGCCATAACTAATATCTTGAAAAATTTGCAACATCCGAATGAGGTGAGAGAAGTCAAGGTGACCACTCACGCATGCATATTTTTTCACGGCAATCATCATGAGAGTGAATGTCCAGAAAACCATGAGTCAACCAATTTTGTGGGCAACTACAACTGGAGTAATAATAACCCCTATTCAAACACGTACAATCCTGGTTGGAGATAACACTCGAATTTTTCATGGAGTAATCAAGGGAAAATAACAATCAAGCAGCAAATTACAAGCCACAGTAGAATAATTCAGACCATCAATATTTTCAGAATCAGAATCATCAGCAGCCCTGACAAAACAATAAAGGTATAGCTTCTTCCTCTAATACTAATTCCAATACTAATTCCTTGGAGTTATCATTGCAGGAATTTATGGCCTCGACAAAAGATTTCATGGCCTCCACAAAGACCTTGATGCACGAACATTCTGCAATAATTAAAAATCAAGGAAATTTGTTACAAAGCCAATCAACACTTTTGCAAAGCCATAGTTCATCTCTAAGAGCATTGGAGAATCAAGTGGGACAAATTGCTACGACATTACATTCTCGCCCACAAGGAAATCTCCCTAGTGATACTAAGATCACTAAACATCATGGAAAGGAGCAATGTAGTGTACTCATACTAAGGAGTGGAAAACAGGTCAACCAAAATAACAAGTTTGGGGGAGAACACCTAAACAGTCCTCGCCATGGCATAACACAATCAGAGGATCGAGCTGAAAATGATGAACAAGATGAAGCGCCTGAAGAGAAGGAAAGGAATGAAGGCCCAGAGAAACATCGTTCAAACAATGAGAAATTCATGGCCAATTCCAGAGATTCCTCAGCACCAACAGCAGACATTGTGAGACCTCCACCACTGTTCCCTCAACGGTTGAAGAAGCATGATGATGACATTCAGTTCAAGAAATTTGTTGATGTTCTGGACCAGTTGTATATCAATATGCCCTTACTTGAAGTTATCGAGAAAATGCCTTCCTATGCCAAGTTTCTTAAGGATATTGTTACGAAAAAAAGAAAGGTAGAACGTGTTGCCATGGCAACAGAAATCTGTTCGGAAGTAAGCAAACTCCCACTAAAACAAAAAGACATTGGCAGTTTTATAATACCATGTTCAATTGGTAATGACTTCATAGGACGAGCTCTTGTTGATTTGGGATCAAGTGTAAACTTGATACCAAAGTCCATATTTATAAAACTAGAAGGGTATCAAGCATGTCCAACCAAAGTTATCTTCAGTCTTATGTACGGTCTGAGGATAGAATAGAAGACGTCATAGTAAGGGTGGACAAATTCGTATTTCCAGTTGATTTCCTCATCTTGGATTGCGAAGTTAATGAAAACGCACCAATCATTCTAGGACGACCCTTTTTAGCCACTAGAAGAATCCTAATAGATTGTTAAAAATGAGAGTTCACAATGCGAGTAGGAGAGCAAATCGTCACCATCAATGTATTCAACTCCATGAAATATGTGGACGATTCAGAGGAATACCAATGCATTAACAAATTAGAAGAAAAGACAATCCTTGGACGTGGTGAATCTCTAAGGCTCGATGAATACAATGCTTTGTACCATGACCCTACAACCGAGATGCATGAACCAGAAAATTTTGGCCCAGGCAAATTATTTTCAGAGGACAATTCTGAGAATCATGGCCCTAACAACAGAAATATGAACAATGAGTGCCCTAAAAATAACAAAAATACAATATACGGAGGAAAGACAAATGATCAACCAAGTCTTCTTTATAATAAATCATGTATGAGATTCGA